CTTGATTTCTGTACAGCAGACTTGGTGGCTGTGACTATTTAGCTAGCAGCTTAATGGTCAGGTGTTACACACCAAGTACAGGAGTCAATGATCTAGGATCCCCAAACAAATACTGCTATGAGGGTATATTGTTTGTGATAGCACCTGAATAAGGGGGGTAGTATCAATGTCAACTGTCAGGACCTAGTTAATCTTACTTACCTTGTCTAGGCATTAGTGTTACGTTGAGAACAGAGAATAGACAGATCCATAGGATCATCCATTGTGATCCTAGACATCAAAGTTGGTCTCAATAACACAATGTGAAAGGAAATGCACTTCACCTTGCTTTGAATTATGTTACCATGTCTTGGATTGTGTGTAGTGTTTTACTTATGGGTGGCAAGGACATAGTTTCCATGTATGCTTCCTGTATGTGCCTAAACCTTTCTTTCACAGAAATGGAGAATTCAGGAAACTTCAGGTATTCATTTCCTAGAGACCTGAGTTTTGGAGTCATAATCTCGACTAAGTAACTTGGGCACATATGGGTAAGTTTTCATTTTAGCCATCAAAAATTTTATATTCTTTTATATCAATCTCATTGTTAAAAGAGCAGTTGAGAATGGAGGGCAGCAGACATGGTTTTTCCTTATAGAGGCCCTTGCCTGGATCCACTGCATCTGTACAATAGATTTTATGCCCAATTCTGTAGTTTGTCAACTATGATTGTATGATATCACAGAGACAACAGAACTTGACATGATATGCTTATATGTACAGGAGCACCCATTAATCTTAATACTTTCCAAAAACTTATAAAAGTTGAGATTGGCACAACTCAAAAAGAGCTAATGAGCCTTTTTACTGAACAGGGAGTGAGCAGGGTGTGTGTGTAATATGCTGGAAATTTAGAAATTAAGGAGAAAAAGACAAAAGGATGTCTCTAATGTTTGATATCCTGCAAAAATCAGATTACTCTGCCAAGTTCTTTATGCTAGCTAATTAAGATCCATTCTCCAGGGCATGAGCATCTCATTGAGCAGAACATGGTAGATACTTACATAGACTCTGTGAGAGCTGGAGCTGCTCAAGGACAAGTGGTTCATACAGACCACAGTGGTACAGTGGTGGTGTATACCCCTCTCTCTCTGAAAAATAAAGAGCTGGATAGTAGTGATTGTTAGAGCTAACATCAAGTTTACAAGAAAAATATGTCAAAATTGGGGTAAGAATTGATCCACACACATCCACACATCCAAAGCCTCTAACAAAACTCAGCTGGATCCTCTAGTTTTTGATTATCGATAAAACTTGGCTTTCATGGCATCAGATGGCATCTGACTCCTTTCTTGGTTCAAAGGGTTTCTCATCCATTTGCTTATACATAGTCCTTCAATACTCCAGAGGAAATGGCAGTGGGATATACTCATTGCCATACCTACCCTCAATAAGTGCACTGGGACAACACAGATAAATCTGGGATTTGAGGCAAAGCCTGATATATCTAAAGTATTAATAAGGCATTAAAGCCACATAGCTAGATCCCTTTATGTCAAGAATACTTCTGTTTAGGAAAAATCTGACATTGGGCATTGGGTGATATTTCAGGGACACTTTGCAATCAATGTGTTCAGAAAGACACTCAGTATTTAATGAGTTTAATGTAGCCAACTAACCTGAAGCTACCTCTTCCAGTTCAGCAAGAAATAACAAGAAAGTATCTTATGACAGACTTTGCATTTCCTGATCCTCACTTGAACCTACTGAGCAATTCAGAATACTTCTGAATGCACAAAGGAAATTCTCCAAGAGCTATTTATATGAACAAACACTCTATGAAGAAGTGTGTGTATTTGTAAAGAAACATACCATTTTAAGCATATAAACATATTTACATCTTTGAAAAACATATCTCACATATGCTTCTTTCTATACACTCCACAACAGAACCACACAGACTATCCTGTACATCCACATACATATATGTTAATACACAATATTCATGTATTCATAGGATGCCACTCTGTTCATCAATATCTTTCCCTATGTATATACACAAAACAAAAACTTGTATACCATTTTTTATGCAAGATAGTTCTGTGACTTATGCCATGTCTTTAATCTCTTTTTGATATGGATTTTTCTTGTTTTTCAACTCAGACTATGTATTCACACACATTTCTTTGGTTTCACCAAACATTACATCAATGTAGCATCTAGCTACAGCTATACTTTATAGTGAGAAGAGCTTGATTCAGTTACAGTACTTGGGGGTGAGGTTTACATGCTTGCAACTACATTATATAGTAGTGTTAGTATGTTCAGGAGGAATCATGGACTCTTCCATTAAAACATACAATTCTTGAAAACCAAAACTTCCAAAGTCAGTTGCTAAACATCCATCTTATAACTTTTTTCTTCTGGGCATTTCTTCTGAGAGATTTTTCTGTAGTGAGTTAGAGCACAGAACTTTCCATAGACTCAGGAAGGGAAGGGTCTTTGGAGAAGCCAGCCAGGATATTACAAATGATCAGCTTTCTGGACAGAAACACAGGACTGTTCTGAGGAAAATTGAAGCCATTATGCTGCAGCACAGAAATAACCCAAGCCTGCAACCTGCAGCTCATGAGGAGATGGTCTTGGTGTACTTTCTGAAATTTGTAGGCTGGTAATAGACATATATATTAGTTCAGAAAAATCCCACAACCCAAAAACCATACATTTCTTACATTTATCCAGACTTTTTCACTCACAAGATGGAAGGACATAGCATCATCATACAGGAAACTATTGATTTCCTTCAAATATCCAAACAGGTTTTCATATGTTTCTTTAAAGATAGTCTTAGACTGTTGATTGAAGAGATATTACATCACCTTTCTTTCTGCCAAAGAAGCTCTGATCCATTACCTGAACTCATAAGCTATTCCCTGGTAACTAAAATTAAGTGCTTGAAATCCATCATAATTCAAGACAAAGGGAAAAACCCTACTCTAATAATTCAGAGATTCTGTCAGCATCTTGGATATTTATCAAGGAGGTATGGGACTCTACTGTTTCCCTCATCAACATGAAGAGTTCCATTTGTTTTAGTAATCTTGCTTAAAGCTAATCAAGAATAATGACTATGACCCTTAAAGAAAGTTTAAAACCTCAGTTGTAGTTTGGTATGTTGTTTGATTTTAAAATATAATCTAAATAAGAACTAAATCTGAAGCCTGAGTGTTGGGAGAAGGATCACTCGTAAGAAATTAAAGAACATCAAAGAGCAGTAGAATCCAAAAGAGAAGTAAACTTCTTTTTATAGGACCTTTGTAGGTTTTTTTAAAAAAATAATTTCAAATTTTCTGTTTTCTATTATATTTGCAATGAGTTTGAAATAACTCACTGAACTTGATGTATTAATGTTATTGGAGTATATATAACACCATTTGAAGAAGATGATGAAAGAAAAGGAAAAACATGAGGTTATAATCAATGATAACATTATTTATTTTAAAAAGACTGGCATGTTTCCTCATCAAGATACGATATGACATGAGGACAGAGCAGATGTTCAACTTTATTTCTATTAGCAAAGCAAAAACAACTGAAAAATAGATAACAAGTGCATGATTATGTTTGTTCTAAACCCAAATTTTTCTGGTATTAATGTTGTTATTTACCCAGAATATTTCAATATAAACTCTGCCATGACTCTTGTTTTTACCTTGTAAGTCTTATCTGTCTACCAGTGGTAACTTGAGTAAAGTAAATGACAAATGTCTGACCAACAAAATCTCTGGAAATTCAGCAATTATGGGATTATTTTACTCTGTTAAAATATTAGGATAATTCTAAATATTTGATCCACAGAACAGAAAACTTCATTTTAAATTTTCTTCCTTTTGTTCAGAAAAGTTAATTTTAATTCTTTTTAGTTATGTGGTAGAGTGTAAATGTGTGTGTTTCTATATTTCTGGGTTTCTCTCTGTCTCTCTCTATGTCTCTGTCTCTGTCTCTCTCTCTCTCTCCCTGTGTGTGTGTGTGTGTGTATGCATGTGTGCATGCTCATGTACACATATGAGCATGTGAGTGGGAGGCCAGAAGCATGACTTCCACTTAGCTGGTCATCAGTTTGTCAACTATCATAGATGGGTATAGGGAACTTATGTTTTCAGAGAAAACATCAAGTGCTCTTCAGATCTGAGGCATCACTCTAGGTTTGATGTATTTTTTTCCATATTGAAATCCTCTCAAATGAAACATACACAAGTCATAGGAAAGACATTTTTCCTGTCCTACCTTGAGGCTTTGGCCCTATTACCAAATCAGAGCATAAGCCAGGAAGCAACCTTAAAGGAGCTTCCTTTATTGAATGCAATGACTGGTGGTAATTGGTTGTAGAAAGAAATCAAATTGCCATTGTCAAAGTTAAAGGTTCTTTCAGAAATTTGGCCTCAGAAAAGGGAGGTACTAAATGGTCTTAGATGAAATAATACTCTTATATGAGTAACTGTGTATCTTGACCTTGGACAATACTGATCTCCCAGGACCTCAAACACAAAGAGTTTCTGGAGCACACAGTGTTCAACTTTGATGTTGTAGGAATTTGAAGGCCAGAGAACAGTGATATCTTTTGTTAAGAAGGACGACCAAGCTAGGAGATCTCAAAATGGGAAGAACAAAATTTGTGAAGAAAACTGAGGTAAAGAGATAGCCTGGAACTCTGAGAAAATAAGAAGTGGATATACAGAGAAGATGACTATTTAGGGAGTAAGATGTCAAACAGAAAGGGAAAGAAGTGGATAAAGATCTGGCATCCTGTAAGAGCAATATAAAAAGAGAGAAAATATAGAAGGCAGGAAGAGATGAAGGAAGGGGAATGGTGAAAAAAACATGGTACTGACAAGAAGCCAATGCAAACTCACAGTACAGAATAAAAGGCCAACTCATTTGCAGGCTGCACTCACTGTATGATCCAGGCTCACTGAAGTTCCACTTCAAGCCTTGGATCCAAGTCGAATTCAAAGAAGTCTATGGCTTGCCAGCTCCATGCACAACTAATTCTGCTGACCACCTTCATACTAGTTCTGAATCTGAGACTTTACCCTGTCCTAGGTCACAATTTGGGTGATACAGAGAAATCTAGTATGGAAGAGGAAGGAGCCCCAGAAGCACTGAATGCAGCTGTCATGATGTACAATGAAAACAAGAGTGACTTGTACCTGAGACATGTGGTAGAAGTGAAGAATGTCAGAAAGCATGTATGTGATCCTTTATTGGGGGAGCCTGACTTATACATATAGAGAGATGTAGCAGTATATAGCCTTAGTCCATCTATCATTTTTTTCTCTGCCCTGTTGCTCTCTGATCCTGACTCAGTCTGCTTTGTAACTAGTGATTTGAGATGGACAGAATGGCAGTATTCACATTTTTCCCCTTCATGAAGTCTATTCCTCAGATACATGCTATTTTCTGGAAGCGCTATTAGGTGGGCTTACTTCAACTGCAGTAACCTCTCTTTTACTCCTTTGAAACCTAAGAGTATGCTGCCCATGAGTGCATGTTTGTTTCTTGCTAAACTTCCCAGCCACACCAGAATAAAGGGTCTAAGAGAGTGTCCTCTGAGATGAATCTCTTATCATCACTCTTCTGTAACCCAGAGACATTTTAAACAGATAGTTAGGTGACCATAAAAATTAAATTATCACCAAAACTACCTTCTCTGCTTGAAATTTTTAGTGTTTTTCATTTAATTCTTATTGTGTTTATGGGTAAATATCAAGAGCAATCACAACTACAGAACAGAGGCTGTCAATCTATGTTACTACTATATTTTACTATGTTTAGCCAACGTCCTGTATTTCCTCAAGCCCACGCATATCTGGGTGAGTGATTTTTAAAAATGTTTTGTTAATTAACTGTTTAGTGTACAACTTCTATCAGGTGAAATGGAATTCTAATACAGTTTATAAGAGTGTATAAGGTAGATCAAGAAAAATAGTCACACACAGTTTTCTCATATATAGGATCACTGTTTGCATACTCCCATCACTAACCATCTGAGAGTGCCTTCATATCCTAACAGCCTCCTGTTTTCTGAGTTTCCTTTGGTTACATTTTTGTAGATTGCAGTGTTGTATCACTTTCACCCAGCAGTGGTCATAAGTCCATATTTTTCTGTGCCATGAAGAGAATTGTCCCATAATATGACATTTCCTAGCTACGTTGAAGCTGCTTGAAGTATGAAGACAGAATGATTTTCTATATTGAACCCATGTAAAAACAAATTTTTTGAAGAGTTCCTTTATTTCACATAACAAGTAACAATTTAGATAAAATATTAATCCTTTTGATCCAGTGCTTCTTCAGGTTGAAATCGGATGATAACCTAGGTTACTACATGAGTCTTTGTAATAAGGAGTACCACCACTCCAGAGGATCTTAGCTTCATTTAGTATGGTGATCTTGGAGTTTCCATGGAATAAGTTTCAACAAATTGCTTCTACTTTTTGAAGATGTGATTTTTGGGTGATAGTCTGGATGATCCTTCCAAACCTTGCATAGAAGACCATGGGGAACTGCACCTGAACATAGCAGTATGGACTTAACCCTCAACACAAAAAGGAAAATGTTGCAAGAAAAATAGGGGTCAAGTACACATGCTAGTATGTACTAAGCCACAGGGTCAACAGAAGCAAGGATTTAGTTTAGAGGAACAGTCTTTCATCCTAATAAGAATATCTTTCAAATCTAATCATCTCTTCAGAAACCATTTCACAACATGTTACCAACATGAATACAAACACAGCAATGTGTCATTCAGTGTCAGTGTAAAGATATCTTTTCTTTATTCCCTGAATATCAAAGGTGTAAACAATAATCCAGTTCTTCTTGTCTACAGCATTTTCCTGTAGACACTGGTAACCTTCCCAGGTAACAAAGTTCTTAGCAGCCTCTGCAACATTTAATTATGGTAAAAGAGTTAATAAAAGTGAAACACCTGTTGTGTCATCTAGATGGCCAATATAATTTTAATGAGAAATGGATAAAGCATTTTAAAGAAAATCTTCCATGGGATTGTGTAATAACTTTTTCAAATCTGAATGGATCCTGAATCTTTTGAGAGTACTCTCTCTTAAGTAATGGCTTAATTTTAATCTTAAAAAATGATGTCATTAATGAATAGTGATGAGAGTTAGGTAGTGGGGACACTTAAAGAAAAAGATCTTTGAGACCCTTGTTTCACCTCATGTGTTTGAATCTTTCTTCTATGACCTGTTCTCTGTTTACTGTCAACATAATTTTAATTTCTTGGTTGTCCAGATCTTTCTTCACATAATAGAATAGCACCTCAGAAACCTTGATCCTTACATAAAACAAATCCCTACATAAAAACATCTTCAGTCATGGATACTATGTATGATGAAAGAACTATTAGAGAATTTTTGACCATTACACACAGGATAGAGTGGATCGATCTCATTTCATCAATATAAAGCTTAATAATAAAAGATGTATTGGATTCACTCCTGGTTTCACAGTGTTCTTAAATCTTGGTCTGCTTTCACCATTTGATTCTCTAGAGTTCTAACAGGTTGAGCCTAGGTTTCCTTTTAGGAAAGGGAACTAAATATTTTTAATTAATAATGTAAGACTTGAAAATTTAACATTCAAAAGATATTATAAGGGCATATTCCTTTTGTATTGAAACATTCTTTTAGAGAATCATCCCATGTCCTCATTATCATGCAGGGATGAGTCTAAATCAATGGCAAGCATGGATTTTCTGCTGTGATGAGGATTCAGCTAAATAGTGAGCTCCCACACATGACTCACTGGAACAGAGCTACTTCTTCCTCATTATGGGCTTCAGCTTCAAGTTAGTCCTGTGTTTTAGCCTCTTGACACCACTTGTCCTCTGAGCATAGTTGCATTGCTGAACACAAAGTTTTGTTGCCTTCAATCCTGAATTATTTCTAGAGCTACCTACTTTACCAAATTATTAGGAATACTGTGGTTACTGTGGTATGTCACACTTACTGGAAAGTAAAAGAGCCCATGTGTAGTTCACTATAATGTCTAAAGTGAAGCTTTAACTTCTTCCTAGATGGTGGCTAGAAAGAACTTGTTTTTTGATGTGATCCTAGGAAAAACAACATGTATGAAGACCCAGGCTGACTTGACCAACTGTCTCTTAAATGATCAGACTGACCAACAAGAGGTATGAATACAGCACACGCTAGAGACATGCTGTGCAAATAGAGGGATGTACAAACTTGGTTGTTTTTTAAAGTGTATTTGGGGTCAATGGCATACACTCATGCAATATTTGCAATCATGGAAGATCCTGTGTCTGTCTGTCTTTCTCTGTCTCTCTGTCTTTCTCTGTTCTGTCTCTCTTTGTCTCTCTGTCTCTGTCTATCTCTGTCTCTCTGTCTGTCTCTGTCTCTCTGTCTGTCTGTCTGTCTGTCTCTCTCTCTCTCTCTCTCTCTCTCTCTCTCTTTGTGTGTGTTCATAAAAGTAGATCAGACTGTGTATGGGTCTTTCCTTGGGCAACTATTGAAACATATGAAAGTTACACATGTAGGTCTTCAGAGAAATGTGTATGTGTAAGTGTAGTGTACTTACTTAAGAATATATACATGAAGTATTGACAATATATCTAGCACTGGGGGAATAGGGCATCTGTACATATTAAAATTTGAGTTTCTCAGTAAGTTAAAGTGTAATTATGCACTCTGGGAACACTGGGGTGTTGTTTGGTTGGGGTGGAAGAGGTAGCAGATTTCATTACTGGGAAGAGAAGCTTACACCTCCAAGCAGAGCTTCTGTCTAGACCACGCTGAAGAAAATGTGCCCTTCAGTGCTGGTCTTTACATTCAATGCCAGTTTCCCCCTTATTTTGATACATTGGAGATACAGTAGATTTGTGTACAGTGGAAATTCCTCTTCATGCGACTTTCTCTACTATGTAGTTTCAGGGATATCTGTGTCCCATGCCCCAGATTGTTCCCTGTCTGGGAGTAAGAGGGTCTATGCCACTGTCCTGACTTCTGAGACCCTGAATTGAATCATAATCTGTTTCTTAAAAGGATGTCTTGACAAAGAAATGTGAAACCTTGTGGCTCTAAAAGGTAGACAGATGCCACATAGCTGATGGACATCATTATGTTGTAGATCAGCAGACACTACTGAATCATGATGAGTGTTACCATGTTTGCCAGAAGGTTTCTTTCTTACATTCACCAGTCCAACTTCCTTCAAATAGTTCTGGTTTCAAATTTTTTTTTTGGGGGGGGGAGGAAAGGGTTTATTCAGCTTACAGTTCCACATTGCTGTTCATCACCAAAGGAAGTCAGGACTGGAACTCAAGCAGGTCAGGAAGCAGGAGCTGATGCAGAGGCCATGGAGGGATGTTACTTACTGGCTTGCTTCCCCTGGCTTTCTTTCTTTTTTTTTTATTGGATATTTTATTTACATTTCATATGTTATCCCCTTACCCCATCCCCCACCCACCCGGGACCCCCCCCATCCCCTTACCCCTCCACCTTCTTCTCTGTGGATGTAACCCACACCTACCCCCCCCACTCCCACTTCCCCACCCTCAAAATTCCCACCCCCTGGGGCGTCCAGCCTTCATGAAGTCAAGGATCTCATCTTCCACCTGTGCCCGGCAGGGCCTTCTACTCTTACATATTCAGCTGAAGCCCTGGATCCCTCCATAAGTGCTCCCAGGCTGGTGGTTAGGACCCTGGGAGCTGTGGTTGGTTGGTATTGTTGCTCTCCTCATGGTGCCACAAACCCTTTCAGCTCCTTCAGTCCTCAATCTAACTCCTCCATTGAGAACCTCATGATCAGTTCAATGGCTAGTTGTGAGCATCTGCCTCTGAATATGTCAGACTCTTGAAGGCCTCTGAGGAGACATCCATATCAGGCCCTTATCGGCATGTACTTCCTGACTTCCACATCAGCATCTACCTTTGGTGACTGCATATGGGGTGGATACTCAGGTGGAAAGGTCTTCAAATGGCCCCTCCTTCAGTTTCTGTCCCTCACTTTGTCTCCATGTTTGCTCCCTTGAGTATTTTGTTGCTCCTTCTAAGAAGAACTGAATCACCCCCACTTGGTCCTCCTTTTTTTTTTTTTTTTTGGTTTTTCGATACAGGGTTTCTCTGTATAGCCCTGGTTGTCCTGGAACTCACTCTGTAGACCAGGCTGGCCTCGAACTCAGAAATCCACCTGCCTCTGCCTCCCAAGTGCTGGGATTAAAGGCGTGCGCCACCACCACCCGGCGTTGGTCCTCCTTTTTTATGAGCTTCATGTGGCCTGTGAGTTGCATCTTGGGCATTTCAAGGTTCTGGGCTAATATCCAATAATCAGTGAGTGAATACCATGTGTGTTCTTTTGTGATTGGCTTACTTCACTCAGGATGATAATTTCTAGTTCCATCCATTTACCTAGGAACCTCTCGAATTCATTGTTTTTAATAGCTGACTAATACTCCATTGTGTAAATATACCACATTTTTTGAATCCATTCCTCAGTTGAAGGACATCTGGGTTCTTTCCAGCTCCTGGCTGTTATAAATAAGGCTGCTGTGGACATAGTTGAGCATATGTCCTTGTTAAATATTCGACCATCTTCTGGGTATATGCCTAGGAGTGGTATAGCTGGATCCTCAGGTAATGCTATGTCCAATTTTCTGAGGAACCGCCACACTGATTTCCAAAGTGGTTGCACCATCTTGCAGTCCCACCAACAATGGAGGAGTGTTCCTCTTTCTCCACACCCTCGCCAGCATCTACTATCACCTGAGTTCTTAATCTTAGCCATTCTGACTGGTGTGAGATGGAATCTCAGAGTTGTTTTGGTTTGCATTTCCCTGATGACTAAGGACACTGAACATTTCTTTAGGTGCTTCTCGGCCATTCGAGTTTCTTCTGTTGAAAATTCTTTCTTAAGCTCTATACCCCATTTTTTAATAAGGTAATTTGGTTGTCTGGAGTCTACTTTCTTGAGTTCTTTGTATATATTGGATATTAGCCCTCTATCAGATGTAGGATTGGTAAAGATCTTTTCCCAATTTGTTGGTTGTCGTTTTGTCCTATTGACAGTGTCCTTTGCCTTACAGAAACTTTGCAATTTTACAAAGTCCCATTTGTCAATTCTCGATCTTAGAGCATATGCCATTGGTGTTCTGTTCAGGAACTTTTCCCCTGTGCCCAAGTATTCAAGGCTCTTCCCCACCTTCTCTTCTATTAGATTCAGTGTATCTGGTTTTATGTGGAGGTCCTTTATCCACTTAGACTTGAGCTTTGTACAAGGAGATAAGAATGGATCAATTTTCATTCTTCTACATGTTGTCCTCCAGTTGAACCAGCACCATTTGTTGAAAATGCTGCCCTTTTTCCACTGGACAGTTTTATCTCCTTTGTCAAAGATCAAGTGACCATAGGAGTGTGGGTTCATTTCTGGGTCTTCAATTCTACTCCATTGACCTTCCTGCCTGTCTCTGTACCAATACCAGGTAGTTTTTATCACTATTGCTCTGTAGTACAGCTTGAGGTCAGGGATGGTGATTCCTCCAGAAGTTCTTTTATTGTGGAGAATAGTTTTCGCTATCCTGGGTTTTTTGTTATTCCATATGAATTTGAGAATTTCCTTTTCTAACTCTGTGAAGAATTGAGTTGGGATTTTAATGGGGATTGCATTGAATCTGTAGATTGGTTTTGGCAAGATGGCCATTTTTATTATATTAATCCTGCCAATCCATGAGCATGGGAGATCTTTCCATCTTCTGAGATCTTCTTTGATTTCTTTCTTCAGGGACTTGAAGTTCTTGTTGTACAGGTCTTTCACTTGCTTGGTTAGATTCACACCAAGGTATTTCATATTATTTGCAACTATTGTGAAAGGTGTCATTTCCCTAATTTCTTTTTCAGTCTGTTTATCTTTCATGTAGAGGAAGGCTACTGATTTGTTTGAGTTGATTTTATAACCAGCCACTTTGCTGAAGTTGTCTATCAGGTTTAGGAGTTCTCTGGTGGAAGTTTGGGGGTCACTTAAGTATACTATCATATCATCTGCAAATAGCGATATTTTGACTTCTTCCTTTCCTATTTGTATCCCTTTGACTTCTTTTTGTTGTCTAATTGCTCTGGCTAGGACTTCCAGTACTATATTGAATAGGTAGGGGGAGAGTGGGCAGCCTTGTCTAGTCCCTGATCTTAGTGGGATTGCTTCAAGTTTCTCTCCATTTAGCTTGATGTTGGCTACTGGTTTGCTGTAAATTGCTTTTACTATGTTTAGGTATGGGCCTTGAATTCCTGATCTTTCCAAGACTTTTATCATGAAGGGATGTTGAATTTTATCAAATGCTTTCTCAGCATCTAGTGAGATGATCATGTGGTTTTTTTCTTTGAGTTTGTTTATATAGTGGATTACATTGATGGATTTCCGAATATTGAACCATCCCTGCTTTCCTGGGATAAAACCTACTTGATCATGATGGATGATTATTTTGATGTGTTCTTGGATTCGGTTTGCTAGAATTTTATTGAGTATTTTTGCATCGATGTTCATAAGGGAGATTGGTCTGAAGTTCTCTTTCTTTGTCGGGTCTTTGTGGGGTTTGGGTATGAGTGTAATTGTAGCTTCATAGAACGAATTGGGTAGTGTTCCTTCTGTTTCTATTTTGTGGAATAGTTTGAAGAGAATTGGTATTAGTTCTTCCTTGAAGGTCTGATAAAATTCAGCACTAAAACCATCTGGTCCTGGGCTTTTTTTAGTGGGGAGACTTTTAATGACTGCTGCTATTTCCCTAGGGGTTATGGGACTATTTAGATGGTTTATCTGCTCCTGGTTTAACTTTAGGACCTGGTATCTGTCTAGGAAATTGTCCATTTCTTCCAGGTTTTCCAGTTTTGTTGAGTATAGGCCTTTGTAGTAGGATCTGATGAGTTTTTTAATTTCTTCAGTTTCTGTTGTTATGTCTCCCTTTTCAGTTCTGATTTTATTAATTTGGATATTGTCTCTGTGCCCTCTGGTTAATCTGGCTAACGGTTTATCTATCTTATTGATTTTCTCAAAGAACCAACTCCTGGTTTTGTTGATATTTTGTATTGTTCTTTCTGTTTCTATTTGGTTGATTTCAGCCCTTAGTTTGATTATTTCCTGCCTTCTACTCCTCCTGGGTGTATTTGCTTCCTTTTGTTCTAGAGCTTTTAGTTGTGCAGTCAACTTGTTAGTGTGTGCTCTTTCCAGTTTCTTTTTGTAGGCACTTAGAGCTATGAGTTTTCCTCTTAGCACTGCCTTCATGGAGTCCCACAAGTTTTGGTATGATGTGTCCTCATTTTCATTGAATTCTAGAAAGTTTTTAATTTATTTCTTTATTTCTTCCTTGACCAAGTCATCATTGAGTAGAGAGTTGTTCAGTTTCCTTGTGCATGTGGGTTTTCCATTGGTTTTGTCATTATTAAAGACCAGTCTTATTCCGTGGTGATCTGATAAGATGCAAGGGATTATTTCAATCTTTTTGTATCTGTAGAGGCCTGTTTTGTGACCAATTATATGGTCTATTTTGGAGAAGGTACCATGAGGTGCTGAGAAAAAGGTATATTCTTTTGTTTTAGGATGAAATGTTCTATAGATGTCTGTTAAGTCCATTTGGTTCATCACTTCTGTTAATGTCAAAGTGTCTCCATTTAGTTTCTGTTTCTATGATCTGTCCATTGCTGAGAGTGGGGTGTTGAAATCCCCCACTATTATTGTGTGAGGTCTAATGTGTGTTTTGAGCTTTAGTAAAGTTTCTTTTATGTATGTAGGTGCCCTTGCATTTGGAGCATAGATGTTCAGAATTGAGAGTTCACCTTGGTAGATTTTTCCTTTGATGAGTATGAAGTGTCCTTCTTTATCTTTTTTGATTAATTTTGGATGAAAGTCGATTTTATTTGATATTAGAATGGCTACTCCAGCTTGTTTCTTGGGACCATTGGCTTGGAAAATTGCTTTCCACCCTTTTATTCTGAGGTAGTGTCTGTCTTTGTCACTGAGGTGCGTTTCTTGTATGCAGCAAAATTCTGGGTCTTGTTTGTGTATCCAGTCTGATAGTGTGCGTCTTTTTAATTGGGGAATTGAGACCATTGATGTTAAGAGATATTAAGGAAAAATGATTGTGGCTTCCTGTTATTTTTGCTATTAGAGGTAAAGTTATGTTTGTATAGTTATCTTCTTTTGGGGTTGTTGGATGATTACTTCCTTGCTTTTTCTAGGTTGTAGTTTCCCTCCTTGTGTTGGCGTTTTCCATCAATTATCCTTTGAAGTGCTGGGTTTGTGGGAAGATATTGTGCAAATTTGGTTTTGTCATGGAATATCTTGGTTTCACCATCTATAGTGATTGAGAGTTTTGCTGGGTATAGTAATCTGGGCTGGCAATTGTGTTCTCTTAGGGTCTGTATGATGTCCGTCCAGGCTCTTCTGGCTTTTATAGTCTCTGGTGAGAAGTCTGGTGTAATTCTTATAGGTCTGCCTTTGTATGTTACTTGACCTTTTTCCCTTACTGCTTTTAGTATTTTTTCTTTGTTTTGTGCATCTGATGTTTTGATTATTATGTGACGGGAGGTATTTCTTTTCTGGTCTAGTCTATTTGGTGTTCTATAGGCTTCTTGTATGTTTATGGGCATCTTGTTCTTTATGTTAGGGAAGTTCTCCTCAACAATTTTGTTGAAGATATTTACTGTCCCTTTAAGTTGGGACTCTTCATTCTCATCTATACCTATTATCCTTAGGTTTGGTCTTCTCATTGTGTCCTGGATTTCCTGGATGTTTTGAATTAGGAGTTTTTTGCATTTTGCATTTTCTTTGACAACTGTGCCAATATTTTCTACCGTATCTTCTGCATTTGAGATTCTCTCTTCTATCTCTTGTATTCTGTTGGTGATGCTTGTGTCTATGACTCCTGACCTCTTTCTTAAGTTTTCTATTTCCATGGTTGTCTCCCTTTGAGCTTTCTTTATTGTTTCTATTTCCATTTTCAGATCCTGAATGTTTTTGTTTAATTCCTTCTTTGTGTTTTCTTCCATTTCCTTAAGGGATTTCTGTGATTCCTCTTTAAGGGCTTCTATCTGTTTACTTGTACTCTCCTGCATTTCTTTAAGGGAGTTACTTAATTCCTTCTTATAATCCTCTATCATCATCATGAGAAGTGATTTTAATTCTGAATCCTGCTTTTCAGGTGTGATGGGGTGTTCAGGGCTTGCTATATTGGGAGAACTGGGAACTGATGATGCCAAGAAACTTTGGTTTCTGTTGCTTATGTTCTTGCGCTTGCCTTTTGCCATCTGGTTAACTCTAGTGTTGCCTGCCCTCACTGTGTAAGACTGGAGTCTGTATTTCCAGTTATCTTGCTTGTTGCAGAGCTCCTCAGAGTCCAGATGTCTCTGTAGTCTTATGATTCTAATCTTGGTGTCTGCTGCTCTGATTGCAGTGGCTCCTCTGCTGCTCTGAGTGCAGTGTCTCCTCTAGGATGACTCAGGAGTCAGTATCTCCACAGGACAGGAGTAGATCAACTCAGTGTCAGCTGCTCTGAGTACAGTGGATCCTCAGCTGCTCTGAGTGCAGAGGCTCCTCTAGGATGACTCAGGAGTCAGTATCTCCACAGGACAGGAGCAGACCAACTCTGTGTCTCCTGGTTTCAAATTTTATCTTCATTTTTTTTCCAGCTTTGACCAAACATTCTTTGTTTACCTTTGTAGCATGAATTCTGCTCTTTTGAGGTCCTACTCTCGTACATGGAGACTTATACTGTCCTGATGAACTCCAGTTGTCACAGAATCTAAGTTTGTTTCAAGTGGTACTGTGCAGGATGCTGACATCTCTGACACTACTTCATTACTTAAATAGATGATCCTGTCCTGATGGATGCCTTGAAGATTACCAGCACCAAAATCACCAGTAGATTAGACTGCTAAGCACAGATAATTACACCCAAGCAGCTGCCCCTTTCTATGCAAATGCTCCATTGTATTGTTCTCATATGTCTGTTCATTTCTTGTTCAATAAAATGACCAACAACTTCTTTTGCATGACTCCAGTCTCAGTTTTTCTAAAGTAATAGGATGTGGAAGAGTCTAATTTGAGCTCGCATCTTATGTGTTTAACAAGTCAAAGCCTTATGACATAGTTATTATCTGGACTGTAGAGATGATAAATAGCATGAGGGGAGTGAAAATCAACTTTCTTGACACAGTGACTCAGAGCAGAGAGACAGTGTAAAGGGGAGCAGTACTAATGCCCTTATGGTATTTTTGGGATTGCATTGTCCCAGCAGCTGCCCACTGACATTTGGGTGGTAAGAGATTCAGGAAGTGCTCGACTGTGTTCCCCTAGGCTGCCACAGGGACCTGTGGTGAGCTGTAGGAAAGCACTTCATGGGTAGGTAAATGCAGTCTGAAGTGGGGGAGAAAGCCAGAGATGATTCAGGTGTTTCCATGCTTGCAACAAGGCTTGACCATGGGGTTCTCAGACCCTTGGACATCGAGTCATCACTGGGAACCATGAAAGATTCAGGAACTGATATATGGGACCCACAGGTTGAGGACTGCCTCTAGCCTGGAGCCAAGGCTGAGAGTTCTGGCTTTGTTCATTAGTGCTTGTCCTAAGCTTGGGAGAGGTAGGCTGGAAGCACATCTAGGCCTTCTATAGGAGTATTAGCTAAGGCACTGTAGTCAGAGTCTTTTTCCACATTCCCCAGGGTGCCAGTAGATGAAACAGAGAGCTCATGGTTCTAAACTGTCTATTGATGGTTCATGGCAGAAAATTGATGAATACCCTACTTCCCAGGGTCTGACTAGTGATTAAGTAACTTTTGCAGGGAGGAATGTCTGGAAAGTAAAATTTATTCAGTAAGCATTCAAACTCACTAGGTAACTAATTAGCATAGGGAGCTCTATTCAGGACTCACTTGAACACAGATCAGGTTCCCTCCTGATATGGGGAACGTGGAACTTGTTCCAGGCTAGTAGTCTGGTGGTGAGTAGGAAACCAACTAAGTTTCAGATGTGTGCCCCCATAGTCTCCATATCTAAACCAGTTCTACCCATCAAGCTTCCTGGCATGGTTTTAAGTCTCACACCCTTACACCCTTGGTAATCCCTTTAAAAAGTCAGCTATTAAGGTATGTACCATTGCTCCCAAGAATAGTAATGATACACCCATCAGAGCACAAATTACTTACTGGAGATGAACTCTTTCTTATTCCAGATTCCCTTCAAATTCATATGTGATGATTCTTGAATTCCATTTCTATCAGAAAAAGCTTAGGGAATTTTAAGGAGAGAAAAGGTGTAATTTGGGTTGTGTATATGGGTATATGTGTGTTTCTCATTAGTAAAACTCCAACCAGAACCCAAAAAGTGGTGACATAACCCAGAACCTAACACCACATATATTAATACATATATTCTTGGTTGATGTAACTTGGTCAAAAAGAGAGTTGATAGGATGATCATAGGCCTTCTGTGCTCTGGTATAACACGAGGTTTTATTCACAGGCTAAATGTTGAAGGTATATGCAATCACAAACTGACTCTCACAGCATGGAATCTGTATGTACAAGGAACAATTTTAATGAATTTTATCCTTATATACATGTATTTTCTCATAGAAGTTGGACACCTTACCATCTCTAAAATAGTAAGACCTAAATATTTGCCCTTTCAGCCATTTCCCATTATCAGTTAGGATACCAATATTTAATAACTCTTTGACTGGCATGGAGACTGTCCAGCCAGTAACCTGGCCAGTATTTGGAAAGTGATGGATCCCAGTTCCATGAATACTGTAGTTGAAATGATGAAGGACTTCAAACCAACATGCTTGGAGGCCATCTCCATTGAAATTATGAAAGTTCACTTTAGGAAAAGTGAAAAATCCATCAGAGGCCCTCATTGATTCTTATCCAGAAAACACCTCCTCAAGCTTGACCATTGTCAACTTAAGCCTCTGAGATGTCAAAAGAATTTCTTATTCAAGAGGATATAAGCTGTCAAAAGATGAACCTATGCTAATTCAGCAGCATGAGGGTAATTAGGGTCCTTTAAGAAACTCATGTCTGGCATTTCTGCTGGGGCAGACTCCTAGTTGGTCTGCTCCCAGTAAGATACCATATTCTGACTCATCCTAGAGGATCCTCTGCACTCAGAACAGTTGGTAAAAACCCTCCCACACAACATGAATTCCCAAAGATGCCCCTGGGGACCTGGTGCGCTAGGGTCCCATACCCCCCCCCCCAGAATAACACTCTCTTTCCACCTCCTCTGCCTGGTCCTTTCAGTTGGGGCAGATTACTAGCTGGTCTGCTCCTGTGAAGACATCATATCCTGACCCATTGGCACAGATTCCTTCCAGTCTGAGCCAGTGCCCTGAGCAGACCTTGAGCACTAGCTCTTCTACCAATCCCAGGAGCTCTAACACACCCAGGATTATAGGATTTCAGGATCCCAGAGGCAGCCTGACTCTCAGGAGCTCATACATGCAGGAACTAAGGATCACAGGATCACAAAGACAGCTGAACTCTGAAGACTTCTGACACAACTAAGATAACATCAGAGACAGGATCCAGTCAAAGACAGTGAGTGCAGGTAGCACTAGACATAACCAGATGGCAAAAAGTAAGTGTGAAAACATAAGCAACAGAGACCAAGGATACATGGCATCACCAGTTCTCCCACCATAGCAAGTCCTGGACACATCATCACACTGGAAAAGCTGGATTCAGATTTAAAATCACTTCTCATGATGATGAGAGAGGACTTTAAGAAATGCAGAAGAATACAGGTAAACAGGTAGAAGCTCTTAAAGAGGAGACAACAATCCCTTAAATAATTGCAAGAAAACACAACAAAACAGTTGAAGAAATTGAACAAAACCATCCAGAATCTAAAAATGGAAGTAGAAACAATAAAAAAAAATCACAGAGGGAACTACCCTGGAGATAGAAAACCTAGGAAAGAGATCAGTAGTCATAGATGCAAGCATCATCAACAAAATACAAGAAATAGAAGAGAGAATCTCAGGTGTAGAAGATACCATAGAAAACATTGACACAGCTGTCAAGGAAAATGCAAAATTCAAAAAGCTCCTAACCCAAAACATCCCAGGACACAATGAGAAGACCAAACCTACAGATAATAGGTATAGAAAAGTGCAAAAATTTCCAACTTAAAGGGCCAGTAAATACCTTCAACAAAATCATAGAAGAAAACCTCCCTAACCTAAAAAAAGTGATGCCCACAAACATACAAGAATCCTACAGCATTCTAAATAGACTAGACCAGAAAAGAAATTCCTCCTGTCACGTAATAATGAAAACATCAAATGTGTAAAACAAAAAGAGAATAGTAAAAGCAGTAAGGAAAAAAGATCAAGTAACATATAAAGGCAGACCTATAAAAATTACACCAGACTTCTCACTAGAGACTATAAAAGCCAGAAGATCCAGGACTGATGTCATATAGACCGTAAGAGAACACAAATGTCAGCCCAGGCAAAACTCTCAATTACCATAGATGAAGAAACCAAGATATTCCATGACAAAACCAAATTTATACAATATCTTTCCATAAATCCAACTCTACAAAGGATAATAAATGGAAAACTCCAACACAAGGAGGGAAACTATACCCTAGAAAAAGCAAGAAAATAATCTTTCAACAAACCCAAAAGAAGATAGCCGCAGAAACATAATTCCACCTTTAACAACAAAAATAACACAAGGTAACAATCACTTTTCCTTAATATCTCTCAGCATCAATGGACAAAATTCCCCCAATAAAAAGATACTCACTGATAAGTGGATATTAGCTCCAAAGCTTGGAATATTCAGGATACAACTCACAGAACACATGAAGCTCAAAAAGAAGGAAGACCAATGTGTGGGTACTTAGGTCCTTCTTAGAAGGAATAACAAAATACTCATGGGAGCAAACATGGAGACAAAGTGTGGAGCAAAGACTGGAGAAGGGGCTGTCTGGAGAATGCCCCACCTGGGGATTCATCCCGTGTGCAGTCACCAAATGCAGACAATGTTGTAGATGCCAGTAAGTACATGCTGACAGGAGCCTGATATACCTGTCTTTTGAGAGGCTCTGCCAGAGCCTGACATATACAGAGGCAGATGCTCACAGCCAACCATTGAACAAACAGATCATGAGGTCTTCAATGGAGGAGTGAAAGAGAAGACTGAAGGAATTGAAGAGGCTTGCTGACTCATGGGTAGAGCAACAATATCAAGCAACTAGAGCTCCAGGGTCTAAACACTAGCTTGAGTACACACACGGAATGACCCATGGCTTCAGCTGTATCTGTAGTTGAGGATGTCCTTGTTGGGTATCAGTGGGGGAGTAGATCCTTGGTCCCATGAAGGCTGTATGCCCCAGTGTGGGGAATTTGAGGGCAGGGAGTTGGGAGTGAGTGGATAGGTTGGGGCACATCCTCATAGAATCAGGAGAAGGGAGGATGAGGTAAGGAATTTCTAGAGGTGAATGGAGAAAAGGGATAACATCTGAAATGTAAATAAATAAAATATCCAATAAAAAACAGATAATGAAACTGGCTATTACAGTCAAACATTTGAGACTTTTTGTCAAAAATTTAATATTACCCATATTACTGAGACTTCTTATAATCCTCAAGGACAATGTATTAGAGAATGGCCCCACAGAAGTTTAAAATAATATCTTCATAAAATAAAAAAGGGGGAAGTATATCCTCATATGCCACAAATTTATTTAAATCATGTTCTTTTTACTTTCAATTTTTAAAAAATTTGAATTCCAAG